GGTCTTCAGCCCCACAAATCCACCTATTATCTAACAGGGTCCATATTAGCCAAGGGATAGATCAGGCTGATGGAAACATTCTCCTAAGCATGGTTTTACTGTATGGTGACTCTTCTGTGCAATGTTTCTACTAATTATATGTTTAATTTTTAGTTTGGGTTATGTAGGTATTACATTTTGAATCTAGAGTTTTAGCATCTCATTTACTGGAATCCAGACGCAGTGTTAATCCGAGGGGTGGGGAAAACATTAATCTTGGTGTTATATTCTGCCTCCCAAATGGCCCTGGTACATTTCTTTCTCTTCTATGACACAATAAAGGAAAAAAAAAATTAAAAGACAGGTCTCACTAGTAGATGAATATGAGAAAGGAATTGTATTATACATTTATTGTGATAAAGTAAATAGGCATGTACTGTGGAATATTTTGTACAAATATGGGGTTGAAGGTTGGCTGCTGAATGTGATAAGAACAGTATTTAAGGGAAATAAAGCATATCTGTGAATAAATGAATGTGTAATAAATAAATTTGGTTGGCAAATTTACTTACTATATTTATATCCCACCTTTTGTAAGAGGAGTTCAAGGTGGAATTCATAGGGCTTCCTGCTTCTGCTTTTTCCTCATGATAACAACTCTGAAGGTAGGTTTGGCTCAGAGTAACTACCTCAAAATCACCCAGTGAGCTCTTGTGGCTCAGGGTAGTCTAAAATCTGGGTCTCCCCACTCATAGTCCAGTACCTTAACCACTTCATTGACTCAAATGATTCAATATTATGCAGGAAGTAATAAAAGAATGTGTGATCTTTTGGGTGTTTAATGTATTTATGGATAAACATATAAGGATTCCTTGTGATATTGATCTGAAAATTAATGTATCAAGACCAAAATAGTTGTGTTTGAGAAGGAAAATGGGATGATGAGTTATACATAAATGTTGAAAAACTACAGCAGATTATTTTCTGTACCTTGGTAAAACGTTGACTAAAGATGGGAAAATGGATGGATAAATGTCAAATGTGTAGTATGTGGTCTATTGTAAGGAATGAATATCTGTCAAAAGAAGCTTAAATAGCTGTGTAGAAGAATGTGTTTCTGCTAACTTTGCTCTATGTAAGTGAGAGTTCCGTATGAAAGAAAGTTACTGAGGTAACTTCCTATAGAGAGAATGAATGAAAATTGAATTTCTCAATATATGAAGTACCTGGAGGCTGTGAGAGTCAGGATGGAAAGGCTCTGACTCATCCCTAGCAAGGAGGAGTGGCTTTGGGTTTATTGCCCCCCCCCCCATCAGGTCTGGTGATGTGTTGTCTCTGATTCTTGATGGGGTAGTAATGCCCTAGACAATGCTGGTGCACAACTGGGGAGGGGGGTCATCTGGACTCATGGTTCCTGCTCAAGGAGCAGATGGCAGCTGTTTACCGGGGGAGGGGTGTCTTTGTACAGGTTAATTTTGTGTGCCAATTGTGCCCATTCCTGGACTGGGAGGCCTTTTTCTTGGTCATTCATGCCTTGGTCACTTCCTACTGCAACACACTCTACATGGGGCTGTCCTTAAAGACTACCCAGAAGTTACAGCTGATCCAGAATGTGGCAATGTGAGCAGTGTTGAGTGCCCCTTGGTTTGCCCATATTACACTGCTGTTGTGTGAGCTGCACTGGTTCCCAGTCTCTTTCTGGGTGCAATTCAAAGTGCTGGTTATCACCTTTAAAGCTCTACATGGCATCAGGCAAGGTTGTTTGCAGGACCGCCAGAATGAGTGTATCTGCCCATCTACCAGATCAGATCTGTCCTACCAGGTCCCTTCCCTTAAATGTCGCCATCTAGTGGGACCTAAGAAGCATCCCTGTGGAACACCCTTCCCTCTGAGACCTGCCAGGTCCCCACCCCCTTAGCCTTCCGGAGGGCCAGGAAGAGCTGGCTCTTCCCCCAAGCATTGGGACAGAGTGAGGTTGGAGCATGGGGATGGTTTTGTTGGCTGTATTGGAGAGGATGGTTAAGGAGTCAGGTTTTGGTTTTATTGTTTTTTTTTCTTTTTTCTTGTTGTGAACCACCCAAAGTTGTGTTTCTTAAGATGAGTGGCAATATAAGTCTAAAGGGAGGGAGGGAGGGAGGCAGGGATAGTTTGCAAGGATAAAAAACTGTGGAGATGTAGTGAATGGTTTTGGAGTAAACTAGATTTATCTGTATTTCCTTTTCTTATGTCATGACTTTAATTCCTTTACTCCCCTTCTTCACTTTACATAACATTGCTTACCCGAACAGGGAATAATGTAATGGGTATATGTGTATTGGGCGGAATGCATAATTTATTTACTGGCAGTCATGCTTCCTCAACCAACTTCCAAATGCTATTTTCATTTTCTTAGCTATCATACCTTTTGTGGGTTGGGTATCCCAGTGACACTATGAGCTCTATCACTGGGAGTGAACGTTCTCAGAAGGGTTACCCATAAGGGACAGGTCAGTGCAAAGGCATCATACTAAATATGATCCACAGGAGAGAAAATGGCAGTCCTCTCCAGTACGCTGCCAAGAAAATCAAATGATACTCATAACCAAGACAGTGTCAACCTGATGCCGGAATATCAGTCCTCCAGCTCAGAGGGTATTCAGTGGGATACTGGGAAAGAGCAAAGGGCAAGTATGCGTAGCACTAATTCTTATGATGTGGCTGGATTAAAGCTGAAGGGAAGTCCACCTGCCAATGTGGGCAAAGGTGAAAGGGAAGTTCAGTGCTACTAATTTTTTGTAGTGAGTGTGGAAGATGACCTTGATGAAGATATGCAGGAGCTGTTGCCTAGGCAAAAGGGGCTGACACATTTTTAAAGTCCACAACAATAAAAATTGAAAGTCCTATTACAACATCTTATTTCCTGTGTCTTCTGAAGACAGATTCTATCAAGATTCCTGGCTGTTCTCTTTTTTCTTTTCAATCTAGTCCTCTTGTTCCTGTTCCCTTTTTCAGGCTTATCTGAGTGAAGCCCTTTTGGCAGAGGGTTGCTATAAGAAACTCTTTATAGCAAGATATAGATCAGTGTTCTCTTTTTTCCTGCATTGTTTGCTCCCAACACCTGCTTTTCTGAAATTGTACTGTACAGTCCTCAGACCTGGAAGTTCCCTGGGAGACAACATTTCAGCCCTCGAGTCTTATGTGGCATCTTCCTCACTTTCTGGACTTAAAAGAAGAGTAACAAATTGCTGGGAGACTTTGTTAGACCAATAATAAGAATAAGAAACATACTTTGGATTTTGAGTCTGTTAAGTTTTATATTTGTTGTATAGAATAGCCATGGATACCAACCATTGCACTAAGTCATAATGTGGTTTGTTTTTTGCTTGTGTGATGGCAGTGAGTGTGGTTACAGTATTATGGTTAGTCAACAGAAGATAGAATACAACCATGAAGACAAGCATCTATTGATAGCCCAATTGTCCATAAATATATCTATATTGTTTAAATTTAACATCATTATCATTGATTGATTGATTATGTGCCATCAAGTGAATGTTGATTCTTAATGACCACATGGATAGACTTCCCCAGAATGATCTGTCTCCAAGCTGACCTTTCAGGTCTTCTAATGGTGTAATTGAGTGCATCCCTTTTGTTGCCAGTCATCCTCTTCTTCCAGCTTTCCCAGCATTATGGAAAGGTCTTCATCATTGTCATACTTGGTGGCATCAAAATCCATATTTGGATACCTACATATTGCATAAAGAAGGGCTTCGTTCTTTAAGAACACCCTTGAAGAAATTATTCTGAATGCCCACATGCATATCCCCCCCCCCGCTTTTTCATTTTAAATTGAGTTGGCAACATTTAGAGAAGCAGGCAAGGTATCTCTCACTCCCTTCTCCAACTCCCTAGAATATCTCTGGCCCTGATGTTGGAAAATAAAGAAGGCAGGGGCTGCTGTCATGAATCCACATGATACTTGTGTTCCTTGTGTTGCTAGTTATCCTTGACACCTCCTTCACTGGTCTGCTGACCTAGGGGTGGGGGTAGGCATCTTTCAACACAACAATGAGAAGAGAAGCTCTGGGTGAAGTTCCTGCAGGCGTAGTTATGGCTGTCCTCATGGCCTGAGGAATGTGACAGTAGAAATAGCATTAATTCTGGGGGCACGGTATATTGACAGAAATGTGTTGTGCACGGAAAGGCACTTTGCCCAGGCAGAGCTGGCATCAGCCCTTTAGAGATAGTACATCCAGTGAACTGCATGGCTGACATCTGCCATAAAGAGACTGAACCTGATTTCTGTACATTGAATAGTACAGAGCACCTGGACGGAAGCACAAAATCTGCTTCCAGGAACCCAGTAATGGGTGTCCTTGTACTGTAGACCTAAAGCAAATGGTGGCCTTGTTGTGAAGGTTGAAATTGATGGGGATCTGCCAGGGCCTCTGTTGTGAGAAACAAGCTCGCATCACTTCTTGGAATGCACAAGGGTGAGTCTTGGGAATGAATGGTGCTTCCAATGATACTGTTTGAAGTTGAAAAACGGGAGCCCAAATTCTGCTCGAATGCCCTTAGGTAAAAGTTGTTTCTTGTGAGGTCTGGGGTGTTTCTGGGTTTTGTTTCTGCTGGCAAGCGCCAGTTAAAATTTGCAGCAGCGTTTGCTAAACTGAGACAGGCTGTTCTAGCAGTGCCATTATACTGTCAAGTCCTCTTCTAGAGGCAAAAGGTCTGTTTTCCTTTGTTAGTGTAGAAAGGATTGTCCAGAGGTGGCCCACCATATTCTCTCTCTCCTGATGCTGCTACCTGACAAACCATACGCAGCGCTACGAAATTGAGCAATCCCCACTTTAGATCGTCAGCCGATGTGGATTCCAACAACATTCCATTGTTGCTACGTTTATTTTTTGTCTAACTTACCATGGAGAAAAAAGCAGAACAGTGCTCACTGGAACAAAATGGGGACTACTGTGCTGCATCAGTTCTTACTACATCAGTGCAATTATCTTTTTTTTTTTGTTCCTTCCAATCCTCCACAGAAATGTTGCAGCAGCTTCACCAACAGCTGGTGGAGTCTGAGCGTAAAACCATGACCTACCTCAAGCGATTCAACAAAATCCAGGCCGATTATCACAACCTCATTGGTGTCACAGCTGAGCTGGTAGATTCCCTTGAGGCTACTGTGAATGGCAAAATGGTAAGGACAATCATGGAGCAGGCATAGGGGTCTCAAGGGCACGTGGATGTCAAAAAAGTCAAGAGGGTGGCTGTGACGGTGCAGTCAAAACTGCCCCCTGTTTGTACATATCACGTGTGCAATGTGTGTAGAAAAGGGGACAGGGCTCCAATTGCATGATTTCAGCTCCCATCTTGATTAATGTTTTATACTCCTGCAGGTACCTTTGGGCAACAGAGATGCATAACGTTTGTGCCAAGTGGTTGATTTTGTGTGTGTGTGTGTGTGTATTAGTCACTGTAACCAAAACTCTGGTCCCTGTGGCCTTCTGCCACAGTCTTCCTTTTTATTCAACCTGTGTTTTCAAATAAGGAAAAGTAGAGGGGGAGGAGGGAGCAGCATGTGTCCCTTAAATTAAAAATGCAACAGTCTCCCTTGATCTTCTTCCCCAAAGGTCGTCATCCCGGTGGCTATTAATCAGTCGGGTGGGGGGCTGCTTTAAGGCCAGAATGAGATGTGAAAATGGCGTTTCTAGTCAGGGTTTCCTTTTAAGAATAAATTCTTATATCTAGGAAGGTACTGTCAGAGGAGACTTAGTGGATCTGAGGGCCGGCATAGAAACCAACTGATAGCCCCCTGCCCTTTCCAGCAAATGTTCTTCTGCTTTATTGATTAAAAAAAAAAGTCTGAAATGGCTGACTGCTCTTGGACTGTAAGTCCCCTTCCTTTCTTCCTTTCGTCCTTCCCTAAGAGGATCTCCTGGTTCCCTCCATTCCTGACCAATGTGTATAAATAGAGGCTTGGGAGCCCTTTTTCTGAGATGTCCCTGAAGACCATTATGTGGGCATGATGCAGATCCAGGAAGTGGTTGTCGCTTTTTTCTTTTAGAGTAAATGTGGCCCAGGGATGAACAGGTGGGATGCATCATTCCATTCTTACGTTGTGGTCCCGACTTAAATTACTAGGAAAGCTAGTAACCCGCAAGAACATTTTTCTAATAGCTGATGAAATTCGCCCCCACTCTGCTGCTTCAGTTAAAATGTGGAGACCCGACTGCCCTTTCAAAGTAAAATAGACGCCCTGGACACCCGCTTTGGGGGATGAGCCATTTGAGGTGCTCCCCCAGGTCTTACCAGGTGAGGTCACTGTTGAGTTGAGTGTCGGTTTCTCCAGCCAAGTTCAGAGAAAATGAAATGCTGTGGCGTCAAACTGCATTTTATGGTCCTGGACTTCACAGGTCGATAGGATCGCAGTGCCAGGAGAGAAAACAGAAAAGTCTGGTCTTCCTTGCCCTTTCTCAAATGAAGCTTCACCAGTTCCTTCCCGTGACACTCCTGGGATTATAACACAACAGCCACTAACGAAGAGCTCAGCTTAATAAAAACTCAGTGTATCAGAGCAAAGAGTTCCAACCAGTAAAGAAGATGATGGCCAGGATGGTAGGAACTGTCTCCCCACAAAACCGTTAGAACTACTATACCAAGGAAACAGGAGGGAGAGATTTCTTTTAGACCCCAGATATGGTGCATGTTCCGAATGAGTGTAAAGTGAAACCTTTTTGTTAAATTAGTCATCTAAATCAAAATGTATTAGGAGCCAGAAGGACTATAGGATGGATCCAAACTAAATTAAGGTGCCTTCAACATATGGAAGGGGTTCACTCTTCTTTCAGGACAATTCTTCGATTTCCTACCTAAAATTAATGATATTTGAGATTTCAGAAGTAGAAACATAAGTTAATTAACTAAGTCCAGAAATATGACACCTTAGTCAGGATCTGGCCTCATCTTACTGACCATTTTTTCCATGCGAAATGGGAACTAACCATTGAACTGTAGTATTAGCCACGTTACCCTAATACAGAATCAGCCAGATTTCAAGAAATAGCCTGCCCCAGTGCTACTTCAGGCAAATGGATAACAGCTACTTTGAAGGTCTTTTACTGGTGTGATTTGAGCATTTCCAACTTTGCTGTATTTTCCTCCATTGTCATTGGAAAGAGTTGGGATTTGTTATTCCTGACAACCCCTCAAAACATGTTCATCGTTCCAGTTGTTTTTAAAGGGAAAAAAGGTCCAACTTTCCTCTGTTTTGGTTTGTTCCTTATCTCAGATCACCCCAGAAGACCTGCAGAGCGTCTGTGTGCGTTTGTTTAGCAATCAGATGAAGCAGAGCGTAGCACATAGCATAGACTTCACAAGGCCTGGAACTGTAAGTATGATCGTGTGCTTGTGCTATCTGTGCTATATTTCCATGCAATGATACGCGTAGAGTGCATTTTGGTAGGATACTCCCCCCCCACAGAGATGTTTCTAATGGCTTCAGTGATGTTAAGCAAGGAACTTTTGAACATTTCTCTTACAGTGAAACTGCGGCTTCGTACAAAGTCCTAATGCGTTAACTCTGTGGCTTTTATCTGGTTTTCTTACGCCACACAGTGCAATAGAGGCGTTCTTTGTTCATATTTTACACTCAGAGAATAAGATTGCAAAAGAGTGACTTGGCCAAGGCCACCTATTTTAGGTTTATGGCTCCGTTGCATCAGGTGGCTCACAACCACCTTTGTCTGTCTGGTGGAAATATATATATATAAATAAATAAAATGTGGAAAGGGCAGTGTCTCTTGTGATTTTGAGCAAATCCAGAAGACCTAAGAGTTTAACCAGGAATTTGAATTCAGTGTACCAGAAGTTTTATCTTGAATAATTTTGGGGTAGAAGGGACACCTGCCCACCTGAGGGAGATATAAAATGGAACAGCCTAATGCATCCTTTGGTTTCTACAGCAACTGTCCGAAAGGACGTGAGCTTAACATTAACCTCTCGGTTGTGTTCCTCAACAAGTGGATTTTCAGAAACAAAGCTGTCAAATGAAAAATGTTCAGCGTATGAATTTAAGACTAGAGATGTGCTTTAGCTTAACCTTTAAAGATTTTTTTAAAAGCAGATCGGGTTTTTCTTATAATTTTTCACCCAACATCTTTTTTATCTTTTCAAATGTTCTGCTGGATGACAGAATGATTGGGTATGTGCACGCATAGTTTAAGAAAGCAAATATTGAGCAAAAAGGGCAAAAGGATCTTTCCTGCCATTCTTCTCCATCTCTTGGAGGCAGAATATATATTTATTCATCTAGTTACTGTATTTTCATTATGCCGCCATGTTTCCCAGTGACTTATGGTGGTGTAGAATTAAAATCAGAATATGTTACAATAACTCAGTAAATCAATACCAATCAAAATCAAGTAAATCAATATCAACCAATAAACTTGTATCAATGATAAATTTAAATTAATGGGACTAATATAAATAGGTATCTAAATAGTTCTTGAAGAATTTTATTTTCAAAGTTTTCCTGAACTTAGGAGCAGGGGTGCCTCCAGATTTCTGGTAGGAGGCTGTTCCAAAGGGTGGGCACAGGAAAACACACCTCTCTTGCTCTCCCTGAATTGCTGGCAGGGGGGGAATTGCACCTGAGACAAATGCTCTGGATGGATAGGATCCATCTGAAATAGATGTTCTGCAGCAGTATCTGAGCCCCAAGCCCCTAGGGCACTGTAGGTCAATACCAGCACTTGGCATTGGACCTGGAAGTCTACTGGTAGGTGTTCCGCTAACATGTGGGCTGCTGCAGTTGATACCAAGTGCAGCTTCCAATGTACAGTGTATTGCAATAATCTCACAATTATTCCTGCCTTACTCACCTTTAGATTGCAATATGGGGCTGCCCTTGAAGGACATTTGGAAGCTACCGCTGGTCCTGAATGCAGTGGCCCAGTAGTCATGGGCATCCCTCATTGTATCCAAATATCTTTGCTGCTCTGAGAACTGCCCTGGTTACCGGTGGACTTCCAGGTGCAATTCAAGGTGCTGATTATCATCTTGAAAGCCCTGCATGGTTCAGGGCCTGGATATCTGCAAGCTATTTCTCCTGATAGCTCTGCTCGCCCATAAAGGTCAAATAGGGAAGGCTCTTTCTGCATGCCTTCACTCAGGGAGTGTTCCTATAGGGACTGTGGAAGCATGTTGATCGCTGTCCCCCTCCTTTGGAACAGCACCCCCTCCAGATGATCAAATGGCCCTTTCCCTTTGGCATTTAGAAAGTCCAAGGTCCTGGCTGATTGAAGAAGCCCTGAGAAGTTGAACGAGTTATTTGTCCCTCTGTTAATGGAAATGGTTCTAAGCGGGGGGCATCCTAAAGACCTTGACGGAGAAAGGAGAGATCCATTACCAAAGCAACAAGAAGCAAAACATGACATAAACCCCAGACAAAAAGGGATGTGTAAATGTCTCAGACAGACCCCCCCACTTCACATGAGTATAAAAAGTGGTAAAACATAACCAGACTTGCAAGATTCTGTTACTGTAGTCCATCTTAATAAAAGTAATTTTAGACTTCTGCGGAGTTGTTTCTTAGTCTGGCCTATATTGTGGGGCTGTCTGGGGGAGAAGGGGAAGGACATCATGGTCAATGGAATTGGATACTGGTAGAAAAGGAGAGGTCCTCTTTCCCATCCAAGCCCTGACACAGGTCATCTAACAGCTTGCCGAATGTGTTTTCTGTCCCACGGTGACGGAAAAGGGTCCAGATAATCCACTTCCTCTAGAGTGCTTTGCAGTTGCAACTCAACCACTTTCTATACAAGCTTCCCCAGGAAGGGAAAATTAGACACAGAACAACAATTGTCTAACACAGCTAGATCTAGGGAGGGTCTCTTCAAGAGGGGGTGTGCCATCTTTTCTCCCAATGAGGCACCTGCCTTATCCAGCCAGTCACCTACCCTACTGGGCCTCCTAAAAAAGTCAAGTAGGGCAAGGGTCTAGCTCAGTGTTTCTCATACTCGGCAACTTTAAGATGGGTGGACTTCAACTCCCAGAATTCCCCAGCCAGCCTGGCTGGGGAATTCTGGGAGTTGAAATCCACC